GCTGGCAGGGAGGGACGGGTCAGCGGGAAGAAGCACCCAGGGCAGTTCCGTCTCCCTCCCCACCACCCATCCTCACCTGAGCTTCTCCAGCGCCTGGTTTCTCTGTTCCAGGTCCTGCTCCAGCTTGGTTCGCAACTCCTTGTTCTCACTGTGCAGCGTCTCACACAGTGTCTGGGGGGGCAAACGCGGGGGGGCAAACGCCGGCAGCATGAGGACCGTGGCCAGCCCCAGGAGGCTCCTTGGCCACCCACCTCCCACCAAGCCCTGGCAGAGACGCGGGTGCCCACCTCAGAGTGGACAGGAGGGACTTGATGGGGAGAAAAAAAAAAAGAAAAACGGAGGGGAACCCCCACAAAGAGACCAGCCAGTCCTTGCTCACCTGCAGGAATGATGTTCTCTGCTCATTCTTGTGCACCTTGGAGGCCAGGCGCTTGAGTTCAGAGGCCATGTAGCCCATGCGTACGAAGACCTGGTCCTTGCTGGCCTCCTTGGCACAGCCGCTCAGCGTGCTCGCAGCTGCGGCAGGAGGTTGGAGTCTTCGTTCGGCAGCTGCTCCAAGTCCTGGGGACCATGAGGAGATGAAGCATGGTCAGATCAGTTTAAGGAGCACTGCAAAATTTTTTCGCGGGGCAGGTGAGCCTAGTCACGCACACAGGGCCATGGTGTGGAGCTGGGCCAGTACCAAGAGACCCTGCAACAGCCCTTGGTCTGCTGAAAAATTGTGTCAGCTTTGTAAAGGTTTAATTCCTAGCTGGTGGACATAGGACACCAAGTTCTTGGGTGGATGGGGACATTACAGCAGCTCTCCCAGCCCATGTATTCCCCATGCCCCTTGGCAGTCTGAGCAGGCCATGCTACCAGCTCGCTGATAGCAATGGAGGCATCTCCACCCCAATTCCTTCTTTCCCCCGAGCTCTCCCTGTTGGCACCAGGGCTAGAAATCCCAGCTCCCGAGACTGTCCTTTCCATGTATGCCCTAGCCCATGGGAGCTTAGGGTTGCCCTATGAAGGATGGCCTTACCCTAGCCCCCATCGCCTCCTTCCTCCCACCCCCTGGCACGGCTCTGCAGCTCCTTTGCCCGCAACTGCAGGCCAGGCACCGGGAACCCAGGCTCTTTGCCAGGTGGCAGTCAAGACGGTGATGCACGGGATTTAAACGGTGGCTGGGAGAGTCTGGGTCAGGGTGCACTCACAATCGTCACAGCACACCCCCACCCACGCAGGAGGGGTGTCCCCAACAGGCTCATCCTCCCCTGGGGTGGCTGCTTAACTCCTCCATTGCCTAGGAGACACCGTGGGCACAATGCAACCCAGCACAGTGCATGGTGGTACTGCCAGGGAGGAGGTGGGACACGCTGGCAGGGGACCTGGGCCCTTCGCCCGCATCGCTCCCAGCCTCGCTGACTCACCCAGCCACCCATGAGAACGCCCTGGGCAGCACCGCATGGGGGGAGGAGCCCAGCGTGTCCCTGGCACCCTGGCCCTGGGGTTTACAGCCTCGAAACTGCCAAAGGAGGGTGTGTGCAAGGCTGGCAAGGGGAAGCAGTGAGGACCCGAACCCAGCTGGGAGCACCGGGCTATGGGCATGGGTCTATCACTTGGCTCAGAGATCAGCAGCTGATCGCCAAGTAGATGCCACCCCATTCTCCATCGCCCCACAGCTGCACCCCAGGAGGGTCCAACGAGACGCCTGGGGCCTCTCTGGCCAATGCAAACAGAGATGTGCAACAAGAGCATGTCTCCTCACTGGCACTGTGCGATCCAAGCTGATGTTCATCCCCCTTGGGCTCCCCATCTCTGCTCCCCTCCCTCCCATGTGAAAAGCCAGAGCAGGACAGGATGGGGCAGTGCCAGCCAAGGAGACGTTCAGGTGGCACCAAATGGAGAATACAGAGGTGCCTTGGCTGGGGCAGACCCTGTCAGCAATGACAGAGCTTGGAGAAGAGAGCTGGTCCTCCTACTCAGTGCTGGTGTTAGAAGGTGAGTGTCAGAGCATCACTGACAGCTCCTCAGGTCTACATAGCCCTTCCTGTCACTGTCACATGGCATCTGGAGACACTGGTGTCCCCATCTTGCTGGGGCTGCTTCGCTGGCCCCGTGTCCAGGCAGCCCAGCCAGGCCACTTGTACTTGGGAGCCCTTGCCCTTGGAGGGCAGCGTGCACATTGTCTCCTTTCCCCATCTGGGCCAGGTGAGAGGAGCGGTACACAGTGGGGTGCATGTGCCATTGCTCCCGAGCCCTCTGGTCCTAGCAAGACATGGGGAGGACCAGCCACAGGACTGTGTGGTTCCCTCCTGTCTGTGGACTGACCAGGTCTCCTCATCTTCATCATCCTCCTACACCCCTGGTACCACCACCACACCAACGGGCCCGACTCTCCACCCACCACCCACCACATCCGGTGCCAGGGCTGCTCACCACTCTGCCGCTCTCCTGGGGAAACCCCTGTGCTTCGACAGCAACAATCTCGAACTCCGAGGAGGATCCCTACAAGGGGAGGCAGACAGGTCAGGCCTCCCTGGGAAATGACAACCCAGGACACCCACCGCACGGAGGCAGGGACTGCTGGGATGGGAGCACAGTGGAAAAGCTGACCCCTCCTTTCAGATTTATCCCCATTTCTAGAGGCTAAAGGTTGCCTCCTTTGGCTTTAACTAGATGGAGGGTCTCTGCCTCCAGCCATCCCAGCACCAGCTCTTGCGTTCACCAGACTCACGCTTGGAGGAGATTTCCGCACTTCTGTGTCCGGCTGGGTGCTGCCCGGGGCGACCTGTGTGGAGCTGGGATTAGGGCAGACGGCTGCGGAGAGGGGAAAGGACATAGCCATGAGCCTTTTGGAGAGCAGGGCCTCTCCCCACCCGGCACAGGGATGCAGAGAGCAGGTACCTACGAGGTCAGGCACTGATGGGTGGTTCTACCCCAGCTATGAGGACGGGACAGAAACCTCCCTCCAGGAGAAGGGAGGACAGCAGTAGTTTGACATGCTCTGGAGACCAGAGGACTGTGAGAAACCCTCATGAAAGTCTCCTTCATATCCTCTCCCTTCCCTTGAGCTCAGGATCCTGAGCCATCAGGTTATTCCTCCTCAGCAAGGCTCCTACCTCCAGTTTCCACCAGGTCCTCCAATGAGGATGACGCCATTAGCATTTTGTTGTCCTTCACAAGGTCCTCCGCCTTCTGCCGCAGCTTGGATGCCTCCACCTGGGACTCCTCCAGCAGCTCTCCTGTTGTGAGCAATGGAAAGATGCTCAACCTCCCTTCCCCAAGTGCCTGCTCTGCAGCAGAGCCCCATCCACCATCTCCAAGCCCCTTCTTTGGGTGGAGAAGTGTCCAGCATGGTCCTTCTTCATTCAGAAACAACTTTTCTTGGCCAAATCCCACAGTAAAGCTGTATCAGTGGCTCACTGGCTGCAGTCCTCCATGCTGACACATAGAGGACTGGTTACAGGAGGAGGAAAGGCAGCACAGCATCTCTGAGAGGTCTCCTCTGCTTCCCAGAAGAGCTGAATTTAAGCCTAAAGTGGTGTGGGGTCCGGCCTGCCGGCTTGGGAGGTCTGGCACCAGCAATGCAGTTGTCTCCCCACCCTGGGCAGCTGCTCCCACATCAGTGGGTCCCGGTCCCAGGTAGGGGCGCAGCGATGCGACAGGAATCATGAGGTAGGTGGAAATTCGGCTGCAGAAGCGGGACTCGAAAGCAGAAGCTGGGTCACGAGACCGAAAGCAAAACCGGGGGCAGGCAGGGGAAGGTGGCCAAGGAGGACAAAGCGGGTGGCACAATTTGGCTGGGGCGTTTCAATGCTGGCACGTCGCTGCCATTGCAGGGAGCACCCAATGCTGGCATCTTTGAGCAGCACCCAGGAAAAGCCCCTGACTCAACAGGGGTTGCAGGAGGTGGGGGCTTTCATCAAAGGCAGAACAGATGCCG